TCAAAAGGTGTGAAAATGACCCAAAATCGACCAAAACCATGGGCTATAGTATGATAAAGTACAAGTGTGATAAACAATTGCGATTTTTTTAAAATGTGGGTGTGAAAAACACCTAAAATCCATCAAAACTATAGGCTATAGAACATGATTTGTGTTGAAAATGACTTATTTTGAACAGTTTGTGAACAATTTATGATTTGAAAGAAGGCTGGAAAACTTTCTTTTAGTGAGAGGTGGGGGTACTAATGTAATTTGGAAAAGGTATAAAAAGTACTCTACCTTGATCAGGAAAAAAAGTCACAATTTGGTTGACTTGTTAGATGATAGGTATTTATTAATATAGATTTTGGTTTAAAGATTTGTACTTCACTAATATGTTTGATAAAAAAGTTTACATGAACGGTAACGTTGTGTATTTATTACATAATTATACGTACTGTTGAGTCCTTTGTACAAATGGTATTTCCAAACCAAGGGTAATAATAATTCCCATTCAATAGTTGACAGTAATAATGTAGTAATAAATTATTTGAAATTATTAATAGATTTCACATGAAGATGAGAATGTAAACAGCAGTATAGTCATAGTAAAGCCCTAGATAAATAAGGAAAGATGTTTACTGGGTGTACGCTACCTCCATGTTCCCTAGTTTAGGGACCAGTCATTATTTAAGTCGTGTGTGTGGGCCGGGGGTTGGGGAAGCAGGAAGGGAGGAGTGTGGGTTGGTGGAGAAAATGGGGGCTCTCATTTTTTTAGTGGAACATGGGGGGCCTTGCAAGGTCAAAAGGACTGGCAGGATTGGGAGGATGTTTTACGATTTTTAAGTTTGAAGTTGGTACCCGAAAAACATGAATGGTATTAGTTTTGGGTCTGGGAATTTTTTGCATCAATAACATTTTCTCCTCCACCCCCCCCCCCCGACTTAAATAATGAATGTTCCCTAGCCATGTGCAGAACACTGTCAGAAAGATTGTGTTTACATGTGGCATGCAAATGATGATGATGATGATGATCTTTTGCTGTAGTGGGTTAAACACAGTGCTGCAAACAATGTTAAACTTGAAGTCTTGTTTTGTAGTTTGATTTGTAAATTAAGTGTTTCCTGTGTTTCTTCAACCAAGAATAATTTACTTCCCAGCTTATACTTGTTTCCTGACAGTTTAGCTATCTTTGGAAATAATTACCAGTTTCCTATTTAGGCTTAGGCAATAATGATAATGCACAGTTTATTGTAATATTTTGTTTTCAAATTCATGTGAAATCTACTTTAAATGGAGCAAAAACACCTAGTTTATGGCTAGAAAAATGGAAAAAATGTACCGGTGCATATCAGAAAGTCCACATATTAAATGACACTTAAAATTATCAAGCCTTTATACCGAACAATTAATCGTAACTAAGGCATTTCAAATGACCAGGTCATTGTGTATTAACTAGTCTTTAATGTTTTCTTTTTATAATTTTTTGAAAAATGGTTTAACTTGCAAAAGGCTGTGACAAAAAGCCAAGAGTTCCATCTGATAATAGTTTTCCTGAAAATCTCCAGTCATATAATAATAAAACTCTGTAAACTGATTTGGTTTTTCTGGAGCAAGTCTGTCAGGAACAAATAAATATGATATTGAAACTTGTAGAATGTCGTGCCGAGCCATGCACATTTTACCATAAGGATGATATATAGATGGTACTTGCACTAAAAGCTCACAAGTCAATTTTGTCATGCATATACCCTGGAATGTGGCTGCAACAAAAAATACCTGCTTCAAGGGAGAGCATATTTTTTATACAATCATTTATTTTTCTAAGTGAACTGTTAGTGCAAGGTCTGTTTATACTTTCCTTTCATTTAATTCAAGTGTTGTCCTTAATGACATTGTTTGGGCTACCTAGATTAGYCTGGTTCTATCAATGGGCACATTCCAAAGAGTTCTTTGGTTATAGGTAGTACTATAATAACTTTGAGATGCATGGCCGATTTTACAGATAAAATATGGCTTTCAATAAAATCTTTTGCACTCTATTGTGTTTAAAGACTGAAAAACTTTTACTTGAAGTCTGGATCCAAGTCACCTTCGTCTACGTCAGAGTCATCACCTAGAGTGATGTGATCRAGGTTAAAGAAATAACTTTAGATAAACTCAATGTCGCTAGTGATCTAATTGGTAACCCATTTTTATACAGCTATTAATATAGAAATTTTCCACCTAAATAGGCTAGGAATTGGGCATCTACACAGGGTCACTAGGTGGAGGCTTTGCACCATCACCCGATGCCAGCCATGACAGGGGGCAGGAACAATTGGTTCTGGTCTAATCTGATTTACATGAGAAAGAATTCAACTTCTAGGGGGAAAAGACTCTATTGTTATGCCCCCTGTCATGGCTGCCATCATGTGATGGTGCAAAGCCTCTATACTAATTATCACTTTACTAACATCAATATTTATGCTGTGACTAAGTCCTGGGAAAGATAAGGGGGAGGGAAGGGGGAAGGGGGAAGGGGAGGATAGCTTATTGACAAACCTTACTTAGCTGGCCATTGAGCATCAACATGCCACTGTATACTTGGGAGGGAAGGATAGCTGGTTGACAGGCCTAACTAAGCTGGCCATTGAGCATCAACATGGCGTTGCAAACCTGGGAGGGGAGGATAGGTTGTTGACAGGCCTAGAATGAGCCTTATCACAAATTTAGTTATTCATAAAAGGATATCTTTTTTCTCTTTTTCTTTGGCTTTGGTTTTCCTTTCTTGGCACTAACAGGTGGAGTTTTCCTTCCCTTGGCTGGTGTTTTTCTTTGTTTTACTTTAGGTTTTGGTGTGACAACTGGTTTGACTATRACATTACCCTCGGCATCAAGAACGGGAGGTAGATCTACTGCCGGGCTGTCTCTTCCATTTGAATCATCACTGTCTTCTTCTTGGGGGTCCAACTTTATCATTAGACCTTTAAACTTGAATTGAAAAACAAAAGTGGATTAACATAAGTATACAGTTTATGGTATTGCTGTCAAGAGGAGGGGTGGGGACAGAAAAATGTGGCATTTTTACATCACAAGCTCATGTTTATCATACTCTTATTTACTTCCGACTTGAATGGATGTCAAAATGTCTAGCATTATTTGTACTATCATGACTATAAGCTGCATGGCAGGGTGTAAAGTCATTGGAGATGCACATGTATAATGTGCTATTTAAAAGCTCCCCATTATTTGTACTACTGAAACTTACTTCACAATACACCTTGGCAAGTTCCTCAACAGGTCTCTCTTTATTTGGATAACATACATAGTCTATGACTTGTTCTGGTTGGAATGTGGTGCCAGGTTTTCTGGATACAGTTTTATCATATGCTTTGCTTGGTGCTGAAGGAGAATACTTGTGGCATTTGCTGTGTGATAAAGATATCATGCTCATTATTCTCTGTTAATAAAGAGCTGAGCTACGACTAGGTGAAAGCCCAAAGATCGAATTGGAATTTAGAAGTTGATTTTTGAGGAGGGAGGAAAACCAAAGAATCTGGAGAAAAATCCTCTAAGCACAGGAGAGAACCAACAAACAAATCTACTCACATACGACACAGAGATTGGCAGGACTCAAACCTGGGTCGCATCATGATGGAAATGAGGGGCTGGAAATTGCAGAGAAGTGAGGAGTGGCACCTGGAGGAGTCTCTAAGTAGAATCTTAGAATATTCAATGTCAGGGCGACTATGTTTCTCTAAGACCCTTATCTAGTTCCTGTTTTCATCTCGCTTCTCTCTTTTAAGTCACCATTGGCACAAACTACATTCAACTAGGAACAGTGAAGCAGGAAGCTGGCCCAAATGTAGTGGAGGGGGAAGGTGGAGGAGGGGTGCAAGAGGGGACAATGTAACAACTGCCACTATACCTGTCAGTCAAACCAAACAATTCCTTCAGATGTTCTTTCAGCAAGAGAAGCAAAAGGCTCTTTTGTGCAGAATGACAATGTTGTGCAAATGTAGAATTATCTTCTGGTATCCGAGCTGAAAGAAAAATACGATATTTTAGCACTATTAAAATTAATCTTCCTTTTTAAGGACCAAACACATTACACCTTAAACTGGAAAATACAATTCAGTACTTTCTGTGACCCAGAAAGGATGTGGGACAATAATATCTGTAGATTTTCATGTTTCTAAAATCACACATCATAGATAAGGTACTATTCTAAAATCAATCAATTTCTAAGGCACTTTATTTATGATTTTGTACTATTTGCTTGTCTTGGATACCAAGGGTGTTGTCAAAGATTGTCAAGTAATGACAAGGGGTCATATTTAGATAAGGTACTATTCTAAAGTAGAAGATAATATAGGTAAGTTGTAGTGCTTGGGAACGAGGTTATTCCGGGCGAAAGCCCTTGGAATTAAATTCGGAAAAATTAATTTCCGACCTCGCTGAGATTCGAACCCACGACCTTCGGAATTACTATTCTAAAGTATAAATCAATCAATTTCTAAGGCACTTTATTTATGATTTTGTACTATTTGCTTGTCTTGGATACCAAGGGTGTTGTCAAAGATTGTCAAGTAATGACAAGGGGTCATATTTAGATAAGGTACTATTCTAAAGTAGAAGATAATATAGGTAAGTTGTAGTGCTTGGGAACGAGGTTATTCCGGGCGAAAGCCCTTGGAATTAAATTCGGAAAAATTAATTTCCGACCTCGCTGAGATTCGAACCCACGACCTTCGGAATTACTATTCTAAAGTATAAATCAATCAATTTCTAAGGCACTTTATTTATGATTTTGTACTATTTGCTTGTCTTGGATACCAAGGGTGTTGTCAAAGATTGTCAAGTAATGACAAAGTGTCATATTTAGAATATTAAGATAAAAAAAAATTTAAAAATTTAAAATTTAAAAAAAGGAAGAAGTCTTGCATCCAAGTGCACCAAGCTGGCAAGGATCAACCTTACCTATAACTGATTCTACTGTGGCATCATCATCGTCATCATCTACTGTTGATGTCTCTACTCCCTCTTTGACATCTCTTGTTTTTGGCAGAATAATCTAGTCAAACACAAATAAATGAAGCTCAGAAATGAGTTAATAAAACTAATTCCAGGGGGAATAAAACTTTGAAGTTGGTTTTGGATGCAATGACAATGCAAGGATAACATGGGTCACACACCTCTTTGAATGCCTGTAGTAAATGAGCTCCAGATACTGACAGCATGGTATCAATGTGATGCATAATAAACAATGGTTCTTCTTGGACAGAATATGGAAAATATGCCAAGTTGTCTGTTACATAAAGCAATAGGTCCAGCTTGGATTTCTGATAAATAAGGAAAAACAGAAATTCAGATTCTAAATGAGACTTCTTAGAAACATCTCAAGAAAAGGTACGTTCCATCAATAAGAGCATCTTATCTTATTGTTGGTCCTACCTTATGGTCATCAAACATTCTAAGCAGTGCTTGTAGAAGTGACCTTCTTGGTTGACGACTGGTGCGAACCACTGAATACATGTGAGATAAGAGGCTGGTGGAAGTGTCTTTCCTAAATCCACGGATTGGCTCATTTTCTCCCTGAAACAACAAGAACAACAACAACAAAATGTCATGAAACTGTAAAATACAATAATATAAAACACCAGTAGTATAGGGAATGGGGGTTCCAGCGCAATCTCAACACGGGGTAAGACCCG